GCTTTTATATATATATATACAGACACTACAAAACAAAAACGGTGATAGAGACAACAACAAGATCTTGATACAGAATTCTCAAGATACATCAGACTTGAAACCGTAGTAAATCTTGATCAAGTTTTTGATCAAGAATTTTCAAGGAAAAAAATCTTTAAAGAACTTGTGCAGATTTTCTCTTTCTGCAAGACGTGGGGTATAAGTAAGCAGTGCAAAGCAGATGTTAGAGCAAAACTTGAAGGGTATAGATATACAGTTAGTGGGAGAAGTGTTCGTACGAGCAGAACAAAAAACTTGTAACATCATTATCTCCTGAAGGAACAAAGATAGAAAAATTCCGTTTACATATTCATTCTGCCAACACAGAAAGAAACGAAAACGAAACGAGATAAATATTCGTCTATGTTATATAACATAGAACATAATTTTTTTTTCCCGCTATCTCCTGCCGTTCGGGGGTTTTCCGGAGTCCAAGGTCAAAAAACCACTCTCCCCTGTGGAACACTTTTTTTAAATAGGCTTCAAACTAGAGATCTCGAACTGATTTTATTTTAAACTAGACACCTAACTGCATAGTCTGATGAGATCAGATTTTTGATATAGATCTTCGTTGATTTTCTAGAAAACCAAGAATCTCTGGAAAATCCGAAAGGATTTTTCGGGGTTTTGAGAATCTTGGGTCTCTAGAAAGGAGGGGCGTAAGAGGATGTACGTCCTGCCTACTTTTGGAAAAAATTTTCGCTTTAACAATCTCTTTCCCTTCAAGAATTTCGTCTGAGATCTTGTCCAGATTTGGTAACTAATCTAATCAAAATCTAACAAACACATGCTTTTTTCCACTTTGTCTTGCCAAAATACGACCACTGACATATTCATTGATCAGATCAATTCAAACATGAATTTCCTAAGGATGTTAACTGGTTTTCAGTCTCAGACATCCCCTCAGAACTTTTTTCATTCTCCTCAGATAGCCTAATCCTGATGATCCTTACTGTCCGTGAGGACTAGTGGATCGAACACGAAAAATCGAGATTTTGTTGTCGTTATGTTACGACAATTGAAATATTTAAAAAGGAACATTGAATTAAATACACACAGCTACTTGCACACAACGTGTGTCACATGTTTAGTAGTATTGTTTGCAGCAACTGTTGCTTGATCCATAACAGTCTGAGTTTTTGTTACTGTTATCGTTTATACAAAACTCGATTATTTATCGAAATCATTCGTTCAACTTTCGTATGACATTGAAATTTTTTCCGAACAGCAGTCGACGGCAAAATGTAAATCAGAAATTTTAAGGTCCGTGGGATATAGATGATCAGATTTCCATTGATGTTCAGACATAGTAACCATTTTATTGTCGGATCAATACACAAATATTTTAACGGCAGGGATAGTTGAGCCAAGATACATATCTAAAATAAGTCAAGAAAGGAGATCAAATTGCGAAAAAAAGAAATATTCTCAAGCGTCATCTAAAGACAAAATAGACCGTTCAGTGTCCTTTCGATTCCTAACAGACAATGTCAAAAATTTGTATATCCTTGGAGTTGGATTAGATTTGATTGATTATCAGAATATATCAAACGCTTAATTGTTTCTACTCTCTTCCTGCTTTTTCGTTCAAGTTTTGCTGAGGTCGCCACTTCCCACGCTGCAAATAAACTCGTGAAACACGACGTTGAATGTGGCTAGATGAAATTCTTTAATTCCTTCTACATTGTAAAGTTTAAATTTTAGACAGTTTCCGGTAATAAATGTTGTAATGTAGTGTGCATAGAGTTTCAGTCACTTAACAATGGTATCTTACTATGCAATAGAAAAACAGTCTTGATTTATTGCTATGAGGCATTCAATTGTTTTGTCAAGAACGGTTTGTAGCGTAAGCTAAAGTAAAATGTGTTTTTTTTGTTTACATGAACCATGGGTAGTCACAGTAAAAAGATTATATTTCGTGATCGAATTGAAGCTGGGCGTCAATTAGCTGCTAATAAGGAATTAGAAAAAATTAAATCATTATCATCCGATGAAAAGAATTCATATATCGTAATTAGTTTACCACGTGGCGGTACTGTTGTCGGCGATGAAATTGCTAAACAATTAAATATCACTCACGATTTAGTATTTCCAAGAAAAATTCCGTGTCCAGGTCAGCCAGAATTTGCTATTGGAGCTATATCTGAATTAGGTGATGTGATCTGGAATGATTATGCCAGACAAGAAGGTCTTATCGATAAACCAAATGTACAACAAAGTAAAAATAAACAAATTGACGAAGCTAAGAGACGAAAAGAAATTTATCGAGGAAAACGTAAACCAATGGATAATTTAAATGGCAAGACGGTGATATTAGTCGATGATGGATTAGCTACAGGTATCATATGGATTGCCATCAGTATCAAAAATTGAGTATGACGTGAGACTTTTTTTTTATCGTCCTTCCAGTGGCTGCTCTGACGTACTTCCAAGAAGTCTTAGATAGACATGAAGTACGTGACACCACAAAATCATTGCAAAAATTCAGTATTGTGCGCCGTTTTTAATGGTGATCATAGACGGGGTGATGATTCTGATACAGGAGATCAGAGCGGCAGAATCTGTCTGTGTGCTTTAATGGTCGTTGGGAGAAAAATCTGAAATTTCTTTTTACGAATATTTTGCAAGAAGAAATCATGTCGGAGAATTTTTTGAATAACTCTTTTTATCCAAGAAAATTTTCCAATCTCATGCGTATATTCCGTACCTCTGTAGCGGATAGCCTACAGTGAAAGTGTAGCTTTTATCTTAAAAAAACTAGTTTACAGATTCAAATTCCGATTCGTTTTCTAAACTACTTTCACTTCTTTCTCGCCTAGTTTTATAAAAGCAGTATTTTCAAACGTTAACAGAACCAGAAAGGAAACGCTTGAACTAAGCAACTGTAGTTCGTCGATGATTTCGACGCTCACTAGCAGGTAAAAATCGAAAGATTTTTTAGATTTGATCCGTTAAGTTCTTGTCAACTAGAAACAAATCATAGCATTCACATGTTGTTGTTTTTCGAATTAGATGCTGTAAGAAAAAAGGAAACAGAAAAGCGGCAACTGTGTAGATAAAAACCAAAACCAATAAGCAATGATTTTGTAAAAAAGATTTTTATTGTAGGTTAGTATTTGTTTTCTTTCTCTTCTTAGGTGCAACAATGAAATCAGCAATAAATACGTGTAAACATTTGAACGCAAAATCAATTATTGTTGCTGTTCCGTGTGGTTCTGTCGATCGTGTCAATGATATTCGTCAATTAGTTGATAATGTTATATGTTTGACAACCCCTTACGGTTATCATGCTGTTGGACAATGCTATGATTTCTTCGATCAAACATCAGATGATGAAGTGATTGAAATTATGGAAAAATATCAAGACTCAAGTAATACAACTACTCAACAAAGGTACAAATTAAAAGTCTCTGAAATTAGTCTGAAGTAACCATCAGGATAAACGTCAGTCACATAAAAGGATTACTCTTAGGGAAGTCCTGAACAAAATTGAATCTAACTCAACTGACTTTCATTTTTCTGACATTTCATTTCTAAAAAGTATTGATGCGTTTCTGAATAAATTCGATACTAGAGGCATAGATACTATGTGTGAGGTCAAGAGCACCGGGTTGGTTATCTAGAAAAACTTTTCAGTTCTCCAGTAAAGTGTAGACTCAATAATATTTATTTTAATCTTTTTAAAAAAATTAATTTGATGGATAGAAAAACGTCATCAACCTTAAATTACGAAAAGTCTCTTGGAATTAGTGAGTAGGCATGCACCAATACCAATCATTATTGAAGATATTGTACAATACTATTGGGTATCCAATAATATTGGTCACCCAATCTATTGGAACCAATAATATTGGATTCCGCAGTACACTGAATTCCAACTTTTTAACCTTGATATCACTTATCTTCATAAAAACGTGGGGAAGCATATCCCGATCGGGATTAGGCATGCACCGATTAATAATCGATGTTAGGGCATCCAGCAAAGTCTTTCCAAATCAGTTGTAAAAACGCACTTAGAGCTGTCTCATTTTGTAGAAAAATGTTTGCTTCGCCCTAAGAGCTTTTTTATAACTGATTTGGAACGACTTTGCTGAATGCCCTAATATTGATTATTAATAGATGCATGCCTAATTGGATTATATTTTGATTCAAAGCGGGATATAAAGCATGCGTCCGTACTGTAACAGT